TTATAATTTGTCTAATTTCTTGTAATAAACAAATTATATGTTAAGTAGGAATCTCTAAAAGGAAAGAAAAAAAAAAAACAAGTGTGTAAATAAGTAACAGGTGGTTAGATGGATGTTTTTAAATAAACAAATGGGACACATATAGTTGCTTGAAGTTGATTCAATGAGGACCACAAATATCATACTGACTGGATGGATCCTATGGTTTTAAAAACTGTGTGTTAGAAAAATATTAGAGCTTCATGTTCACACGCTAACTGAACATGCAATATTTTTGAATAGCTCTGAGACTGAATATTTTAATTTTTGATGGTGGCAGAGGGCTATTAACAAGGAGACATTTTTAAATTTTATGGGATTAACATGAACATACTGGAATACAGCCTCCAGTTCTAATGTCTACACTTCAAAAAGGGGTACTGACAAGCTGAGTTTAGAAGACAGAAACAAAGATATTTTGAAAAGTTGAGAGTAAGGGCCTGCATGCACCCGTAGATCTTAATGGTCCTTGTGACAGCTGTGGTGTCAGGGGACACACTGCTGTGTCTGGTCTGCTTCACTCTGCTGGTCTGGCCAAGGTCCATCAAGGAGGCTGCTGCCTAACGCTCTGGTCCCACTCTCCTATTCTTCTCCTCCTTTGGGAGCATCTCCTCTATTGCTGCTGCCTAGCAGCCATTGCCTTAGCATTTGAGGTAAATAAAATTATTTTTCTGTATTGAAGTAGAAGTAAGAAATTTGATCTATATCAAAATGCTTCTCCATTTACTAAAAAACCTTGACTAAGGTATGATATAGTTCAGACTAGATGTTGTGCCTTTTTCAAGTCCCAATGCTTTTGGTGATTTTTTATTATAGTGTAAGTCTGAGTAACTGTATGCAGAATCATTCTCATTCTTTATCACTTACCAGTCCAAAAGGCCTGTAAAAAGATGTGTGGTAGCTGAGCATTGCTGATTTGAATGTGGAACCTCAGAGGTCTTGTGGTCATTTTTGTTCGGGATCAAACTAAATGGTTGTCATACTGTTCTCTGGCCTCATAAAATCTATACAATAAGTAGAATAATGATAACATGTAGTATGGAAAATAAAATGGCAAATATGATTTAATCTGCCTGTTCAAGGAAAAGTGTAAAAGTTAATGATAAGATATAGAAATTGTATTCTCATCATTTACACACCCATCCAGTGAACAAATAAAACTAAGATGAGTATGTAGAAACTGAAGATACAATAAAGTAAATATGACAAAATCAACAGTTGACATTAATGAACTGTATGAAATCCAGATTAACACACACACAAGCAAGAACAAATGTTTTTCTTAGCACTTTAATGAGATTAAAAAAAAATAATTAATTCCTATCCATAAAATAAAATGCTAAATCTTATATAATTTAGTATGTCTCACACTAAGTACACAGCCATTTCAAATGCTGTCAGTAGTATTATAGTATTATAGTATAATATAATTATTACATTATAGTATACTTATATAATAATATCAATATTATTATTATAATTATGATTGGATTGATTAGTATTGATATTGATATTAAATAATCAAATATTAATAATTATAATATTATTAATGATATTAATATTACTATAAAAATAATTATAGTATTGTATGACATTATATATTATAGTATGCCAGGAGTAGTTCAGGAGCCATGCTGCACACCTTTATGAATCAGCAAAGTGTACCAAAAATGATATGTACTATCAGTTTCTTCTTCTAACTGGAAAAAAAATGTGTCTAATACACAAACAAATTACCAAAACATGAGAACTGAAACTCTCTGGTCCAAAAATATACCTGTTCAGATGAGTCTCTGTTGTCTCCCTCCTTCATTACCCAAATTTGCAGGCTGCTGTGGCTGATATCACCAAGTACAGCAAGTATCACCAACATCCTGGTGTTGATTTTTGAAGCAATGTTTTATTATCAGTCCAACAAACAAAAAGTGATATCCTTTGTATTTAGCAGTAGAAAATATTCAACCAAAAAGTGCATTTGTTTTCTTGTATATCTTTCTTTCCTTCTTAGGACAAAGATAATCTATCCTTTTAGAAATATTGTCCTCAAAAAAATCTATTCTCTTCTATTCTCTACTCTATTCTCTTTCTTTTATGTCTTGAAGCTCTTTTCATTATGCCAGCTAGGAATCACATCCCTGAACTGACTGGTAACCTCTGCACTCTTAAACACTCTTAAACATTCTGCACTCTTAAACAGAAGACCAATCTGGTTTTATACTGATATTGTTCTGGCATCCTGGTATGCCAGAACAATATTTTATCAAACCCTCATTCTTGAACATACTTGCCTTTGCCTTTGTCTTGGTTGAAAGTATGTAGTTTACTGCCTGTTAAAATAATTGGATAGAATGTTGTCTAAACAATACCCATTCATCAAAATTTCTATCTATTATTATTTTAAAATGATTATTGGTTAAAAATAATAATAAATGCAGGTTTCCATTTAACACTTTTACTATAATAGCAAAAATGTGATACCACAAATATGGCTGCATGTGAAAATAGCTCTACAAGAGATCACTTCAGATTTGTGATTCACCAGTTAAATATTTTAGATGTTCTGCTCATGGAGAAAGTCATGTCAGGGCTCTGTGCTAACATTTTTTGATGTATTGAAATAAAATCTTGTTCTGCTTTACAAATAGCTTTCACACACACACATTCAAAAATATAGTGATTTTAGAAGTTCAAACCACATATAGCAGTAAAAAAAAAAATCCTTAACTATGTTAACATTCAATTAAACAAACATAATTCAGGAATTCTATTTTAGGAATACAACCAACTGAACAGAAGGTTACTGATCATGTCTTGTGGGGTCCATCTTACTTACTTACATAGAAACACCCACTTAGGTAAAATTTTATTCATGGGTGAAATTAAACTTTATAGTAACGTAGACAGACAGCAAGAATAACTTTTTGCCTGCTCTGATGCAGAAGCATCCAATTCAATTTTATGGCATAATTTCTGTTATTCATAACCCATTTTTTCTCACTGTGAAATGGGGTTTGCATTGCAATTACATTGGAAATATAGGAAAATATTGACAAATATTTTTCTCCTCTGCTTGTCATAGTTTGGGATGTCAGCTTTATATTGTCTCTGCTGATAATTAATGGTTTAAGTAGAATCTTCTATGAAACTTCACAGGTTTCTCTGCATCATTCCCACTAACTCAGTTCATCCAGTACCACTGATTTCAAAATATCTTATTGCAAAAGCTAGAATAAGAATCTTAGTCTTAATTCCTAAATGTATGACTAACACAGAGGCTTCTGCTGAACATAAATACGTCCCAGAAATCAGGTACATTGTCCATCTTAAACCCAAGATCTTGCAGTTTGTACGATTGCTTGTCATATATCTTATTACTTACAAAGCAAAGCATAGACACATTGTGACTTAACGAAAAGTGCAAAAAATATTAAATCAGAGTTTAAAACAGAAAACGTCAGTTTAAAAGATTCTGATCAGGCTTAGCAGTAATATGATTTAAAGTACCCCAGGTAGATGCCAGCTTGAAAACATATTCATCATACTTACAAACTGTACAAGAGAATGTGCATTGTTATTGTGGGAAAAATATATATTGGCATAGAGGATATACCTTACTTTATATTATTGAAGTCAACATCAGAGTATCAGGAAGACACTTTGGTGATAACTGGAGTTTGCTGGCAGTGGCAGAAGTGCCCCCTGTTTTGTGAGTTGCAGGGAACTAATGACCTTCTGGCTAGGTGAAGAGTGTGAGGCATTGTTCAGATAGAATTTCCATCCCATACATCCTTGATCAATAACAAATCTAGCAAGGACATAAGAAATCTGCTAAATACCAACTAAAGAAATAAAAAACAGTAATCAAAACTATGGTGATGTGACATTAAAATTAATGCAAATGAGACTGCCCAGACATGGCTTTTTGCCTGTACTGAGGACAAAGAGCTTAGTCTCTCTAAGCCTCCCAGCTTGTAGGCTTATGCATACATTAACTTCAGTGATCAAAATAAGAATGAAATATATTTTTTGAAATATATATTACAGGAATTAAGGAGTTATGATGGATCTTTTCTTAACATTTAAAATGGAGAAGGAAATTAAAATTCCAAGATATAGTAATTTGTTATATTTTTCTGAAAAAATAATAATAATAATAACTAAAAAGGCGATAAGCCTATGGAAAATAAACACTTCAATTATTCTCATGCTAGTAAGGTTCCAATGATTACTACCCTGTCATAAGTTCATCATAAATATTTTAAATAGAATTAAAGTTCAAAAGTTGCAAGAAGAGTTAATAAATATTTGTGACTTGTACAGCTTAGCTGAACCTTATATAGAGAAAGAGACAAGCAAAGGTCAAATAGAAAGTAGATGTCCCATGTTGGAATTACTTAATTGTCAGATCATAGTGGTAATGAATTCATTTTAAAACACGCTTAGCTTTTGGACCTGCTGCTATGTAAGAAGACAGAAAATACTTTTTCTTTTTTAAATCTATTTCATAACTATAAACAAGAAGTCAAACAGTTTAGGCAAAGAAGTGTACTAAGTAATTGCCTCAGTTTAACATAAATTAAGTAAAAGGACCTCCATCATAAAATATATTTAAAGAAAAACAGGAACATGTAACCTGTTGTAATGAAATTATAAATTTATATACGAGCATAGTAACAAAAGTTGCAGAAACAAAGAACCAGAGCTTTTAATGAAACAGGTAGCATCCAGAGGGACTGAAGCACTGAGAAAAGAAACCATCCTTGATGATCTAAATGGCTTTTACTTCATCATCCTGAATTTTCCTTCTATCGGTTGCGGGGAAAAAAAATAAAAAAATAAATAAATATATATATATATCAAAAAACTGTCAAACAGTTATGGTAAAGTCCCTCAGAAGCCACAATTTAGCTCATTTTGTGGCACATTCTTTATAAAATCAGACATACATACAGATGTACATAAATATTAAGATAATGTTCTGATGCAAATATTTTTCAATATGAAATTTATTTAAATAAAATCCGTCAGTGAGCAATAGATATTCACAATTACTTGTTAAGCTATGTAAATAGTTCCCAGGAAATATATGTAAGTGAATTGTTGTATATGCAACAGTAATTGCATTTCTAAGATACCCCTTGCATGAGAAAATACAATTAATATATACAAAGAAGCATATCATCTTCCAGAAGAACCAAAGCACTTTGAAGGAACCATATAGGGTAAATGATCTTGTTTGCATCTAAATATACTGCACAAAACTTGGTTGCTCCTTCAGGATCCTTCTGGCTAGGAGCACAGAGAAAGTCAATGTGATTCTCTGAAGAGATAGTCAATGTGATTCCTGAAGAAGGATGTCAAGAACTACCTGTGGGGCAAAAGAATAGGGACAACTCATGACACCCATTTGCCATACATTCTAAATTTGGCATGTGAGAAGCACATATTTTAATCATCAGGTACAAGAAATGATACCGCATGTAATGCCATTAACCTCATTATTTCTGTCTCTGCACTTATGTACATGCACTTAGTTTCTGTGTGATTCCCCTTTTCACTTCACAGCTTGTTAATATTCCATTCTGTGCACATTGGTCTCATTTCAGAAAACCACCATTTTATAACGAAGTCAATGGGAACTAAATTAGGGCTTAAAATAATGCTCAGACTAGAATGCAGTCAGAATGGTTTCACACACAAGCTCACATTCTTTCTCAAATGAGGTCTTTGAAGGCTATGTAGTTTCCTTCAATTCCTCCTGCTTCACTTCCACTGGTCTGTAACAGGCAAATAGATATGTCCCACCTCCTGGTTATTTGATTAATAATAGAGTTGACTGGCAAGTGAAGTTTCTGGTTTGCAACACAGTTTGAACTTTCAAATTTGTTTTTAATTCTGCTCACAGGATTTCCTTGGAAGAGGTTCACACCAAACTGCTGGTGTGTTATTTGGATCTCCCCCTCTACATCTTCTTCTTACTTCTCCAGCTGACATTCTCTTATACTCAAACTGTGACAGAGTATGACATTGACAAAATGGCATAGTTCTACAAATGCATATTTTCTGAACCCATTCAAGTCAGATTTATCCTTTTAAGCAATCCAAGATGAGAAATATTTTGGACATATTTGGAAGTATTTTGGCTTGGGCTTTTTGTAAACCAGAATATTATTTTATTTTCATGTGTCATTCCTGTTGCACATAATTTAATAGTTTCCTCATTGATGAGTCTGCATTTAGAAAAAAAAATCTATAAAAACTGCAGAAAAATAATTAGTGATTTAACTATTTAAAATACCTAGTGAATAATAAAAATTTCCTTCTTTTACAGCATCACTGGCTGAATTATGAGTGCATTATGCTATATTTTAAAATGAAGTAAAGAATATTAAATGCTCTGAATCTTAATTTACAGAGTTTATCTTGAAATTTTCCATCCTGTAGGTACAAAGATAAATTTCCTTTGTTTTTGTTTTTCCTCAGTAGTAGGGTTTTCTATGAGAAATATATCCATGCTCAGAAATAATAATCAACTCTGTCTTTGTCAGTACTAAAATTTTTGCCACAGGTAATCATTTGTACTATAGTTTATATCCATGTCTCTCAAAATTTAAAGAAAAAAAAAATGATTCAATGGTTTTCTTTCTTTTCTCTTTGTGTATTTATAATCTTTATCTCTGAAGTGTATTTATTAAATACATATGAAAGACTTCCATAGCAGTTGTCTTTCATAAACAAATAACTTACAACAGTAACTTCCAAGAGCCTCACTAATTTCTGTTGTTGAAACCAAAACTTTTAAGGTCCAACATGAAGTATTAAATAATGGATAATTTGAGAAAACCATGTTCCCTTATGGGCAGAAGTACAGTTCAGAAAGAGACTTCAGACACTTTTTACAACTTTTTTATGTGATTCTGACCAAGCTACTTGATGTCTTGGTGCCTAAAGTCCTCATTGGAAAAATGGAAATAATTTTATTCCTCTTATAACCCTGTCTTTTTATATTTTTACATCTCTGATACAAAGGTTGCTTATTATTATCTACAATGCCTGAAAAATAAGGCATTGATCCTGTTTTGGCTGAAAGACATTACTGTCGTGCAAAATATAATTTAAAAAGTCACTGAAGGTGTTTTAAAAACAACAACAACAACAACAAGATTTAGTTGATTTGTGATTTCTTTTCAGGGGAAAAACTCTCGCTTTTATTATGGTGCATCGCACTTGATTTTTTTTTCCTGTCTTTTTTCTTTAAGGGACTAAGAGACACCTCTACATCATCTGCCCTTGTCCATATTGTCCACTTTCCAGATGTTAACTGGGAATACCACACAGCTAATACAAACAGGTCCAGGAGATTCCTAAAACACCTTGATGATAACTTATTGGTATCTAACAGGTACTAAGGGGGCCAACTAGGAAAGGTACCCTCCTAGATTCGTTGTTTGTAAACAGAGGGGGTCTCATGGTGATTGGAGTCCATCTTGATCATAGTGACCAAGAAATAGTTGAGTTTAAAATCTTTAGTGATAGGAGGTAAACTGTCACGGTAACTTCAACCCTGGATATGGGGAGAGCTAGTTAATAAGGTCCCTGTGAAACTGCCTTTGAAGACATTAGGGTCCATCACTGCTAGTCACTTGTTAAGTACAACCTCCAAAGAGCACAGGAACAGATTATTCTGAAATGCCAGAAGTCAAGCAGGAAGGGCAGAAGGCCAGATTTGCTGAGTAGGGATCTTCTCCCAGAGTTTAGGTGGAAGAAGGAAGTATATGGCCAGTGGAAGCAAGGTCAGGTGACATGGGAGGACTACACAGACTGCTCACCATTACAAGGAGAAAATTCATGTGGCCAAAGCTCAATTAGATTTGAAGCTAGCCAGCATCATGGGGGACAGTAAAAAGGGCTTTTTAAAATATGTTAACAGCAAAAGGAAGACCAGAGATTACATTGGTGAGGATGATCACCTCACAAATGGAAATGTAGACAAAGCAAAGACATTTCATGTCTTCTTTGCCTCTGTCTTTTAGACTGATGATGGACCCTGGGGCTGCTGGAGTCCTAAGTTGGAGAACCATGACTGCAGTAACAATAAACTCCCAGCCAACCCCAAACTTCATGCATATAGGTCTATGGAGCCTGATGAGATTAATCCCAGGGTACTCAGAGAGCTTGCTGATCTCATCATGAGAACTCTCTCAATTATTTTTCAACAGTCTTGGGAATCTGGAGAGGTTTTAGTTGACTGGAAGCTGACAAATATTGTTCCGATTTTCATGAAGGGCAAGAAAGAAAACCCTGGAATTACAGGGCATCCCTTCAGTGTCTGGTGACATTGTGGAGAAGATTATTTTGGGAGTTATTGAAAAACGCTTGAAAGACAATGCAGTTGGTAGTCACAGATCATGAGGGGAAAGTCCTGTTAAATGAACTTAATTTGCTTTTATGACAAGGTTACCTACCTAGTTGATCAAGGGAAGTTGATGTAATCTTTTTTGATTTCAGCAAAGCTTTCAATACTGTTTCTTAGGGTATACTTCTGGACAAAATATCCAGCATACACCTAAACAAAAACATAATGCAATTGGTGAACAATCAGCTGACTGGCTGAACACAAAGAATTATATTAAATGGGGTTACATCAGGCTGGCAGCCAGTCACTCACAGGGTTTACCAGAGCTCCCCTTAGGGGCTAGTTCTCTTCAATGTTTTCGTAAACAATTTGGATGCAGAACTTGAATGCATACTAAGTATGTTTGCAGACAATACTAAATTAGGAGAACTGTTGACTACTTCAAGGGTAGAGAGGCCTTGCAGAGAGATCTTAACAAATTAGAGAGCTGTGCAATCACAAACTGCATGAAGTTTAACAAGAGCAAGTGCCAGATTCTGCACCTGGTGAAACCCTGATGCAGACTGTGCGATGAGAAGCTGGAGAACAGCCCTGCAGAAAGGAATCTGAGGGTTTTGATCAATAGCAAGCTGAATATAACTCAACAGTGTGCCCCAACAGCCAAAAGGGCCAATTGTATCCAGCGGTTCATTAAGCACAGCTTTGCTAGTGGAATGGGTTTGAAAGCACAGCTTTGCTAGTGGAAATGATTGTCCTGCTCTACTTTGCGCTGGTGCAGCCCCACCTCAAGTACTGTAGAGTGCAGTTTTGGGCACCACAATACAATAATAAAACAGAACTATTACAGAGCATGCAAAGTAGGACTACAAAGGGTCTAGAGAGCAAGATGTATGAGGAACAGCTGAAGTTGATTAGTTTGTTCAGCCTTGAGAAGAGGATACTGAGGGGCAAACTCCTGGCAGCCTGCAGCTTCATCACGAGGGGAGCTGATCTCTTCTTTCTGGTGACCAACAATAGAACCCAGCAAGAGGGTGGTTGGGCACTGGAATAGGCTCCCCAGGGAAGTGGTCACAGCACCAACCCTGACATAGTTCAAGAATTGTTTGGAAAATGCTCTCAGAAATATGTTTTAAGTTTTTGTATGGTCCTGTGTGAAGCCAGGATCTGGACTCAGTGACCCTTGTGGGTCACTTCCAACTCAGGATATTATATGATTCTTTGATTCTAAAATAAGTACACTTTGTAACCTTGGTTTTTGAATTTTTCTGAAATGCTGAATTAAAAGGACTGTTAAGCATTGTCATGTGTGTTTACAGCATCTAACTCTGCAGCAGCTATGTGTTTAACACTGTTCACTAAATGTTGAAGCTTTGGTTTTTTTTTATACTCTCATGGGATCAAATGAACCTGTCACCTATATGTAGCATTTTCACATATGCTTAAGAAGTTATGAAGCAGGTTTTGCAATACATAAGTCACCTTGTTCTCCTAGAGTATTAATTGTATAAGACAGACTTCAAAGATCTGGTGAATACAAAGTATTTTGAACAGTATACAAAACTCACACACATCTCAGATGAAAAATCCAGTCTTGTAACTATGACATATTCTTTGATTCTCTTAGGAAAACTACCCAGGCAATGGTTTGAGTTATGGAGAAAAGCAAGTAGTAACAGACTATGGTTGGAATTTCTACTACCAATGTTTTCTGTAGTTACAGAGCCAGGGTAAACTAACTGGGAAAATAAATAAATGAATAGATATATAAAGAGAGAGAAATAGAGAAATAAATAAGAAATATTGCTTACATTGTGATGTTTCACTGTATTGCGTCTTGTCTGTCCAGTTGCAAGTGGTGTCCTGACATATTAAGCAATGAGAGAACAAACTCACAATTAAAATATTTAAAGTGATATTTAAGAACATGCCAAACAGTTAGAGGTGCAGCCACAGATATTAGATCCAGTAACGCTTAAAAGTATATAAATATAGCTCAGAAACCATGAGCTATATGAAGTGGCCTTCATGGACACTTTTATATAGATAATTCCATGAAGGCCAGTACTGAACTTTTAAAGTGGATTGTTCCCACTTGCTATGGATCCCCTTCAGATGATATCAAAGTACAATGTATGCTCCAGGAGCTGAACTGATGCATTCTGGATTTTAATGTGCATTTCACCTATGGGATCCAACTAGAGATAATCCAAAGACAGAAGTTCCTGCAGTATGTACAGTATACATTGGCCTTCAGGTCTGAAGCTCAAATTGTTTTAATCTACGGACACATTCCCATTGATCTGCCCTACTTGCTAATGTATGCATAACCACTGAATCTATCTGGCTTGGAAGTATCTTCTCTCCTAATAGCTCATACCAGTTGTCTAGGGAACATAAAAGAGTAAGGCAACCATTTAATGAATGTGGACTTCATGAGTCAAAGTGTCTTTATTTAATAGGACTCACTGAATTTCTTTTTCATTAATATGATGTTAAACAACACTTCTGTGTAAGAAGAGTTGCAGTTTATAGTATTATTATGGTGCTCATTAAATGAACTGGGTAGTCAGTAGTCCTTTCTGGAGGTTTTATTTAAACCATTTTTGAGGTTGCAGTGGTCATCATTAAAATATCATCGGCTGCCACATAGCCAGCACAGTTATTTCTTAGTTAAAATGAAACAGAAGTATTTCAAAGAAACTGCAGTGACTGTTGACTCTTCAAATGGTGACCTGATTATTTTCTGGTTTTGTCATGTACTACAGTTTACAGTGCTTAGTGTAACAGAAGGGATTTGCTTACACATTGCTCCTGGCATAAAGTCACTTTAAATTAGATGGACTAGTAGAGAAATTCTCTTAAAATCTCCCAAAGCTATACATTGTTATCTCTTTTGCTCAGTAATGAGAGCTAAACCAGAATGGAAGATTTATGAAGATATTAAGCATAACATCTGAGGATGAATTTCTCTTATCACAAACTCCATACTACCTAGTTTGTTTGGTTTAACCAATAAGAAAGAAAAATTAGCCTGAACCCACTAGGGAGAAAAAACAGAGTGAGTATTCCACATATACATATAATAAAATAATACAGATGTTGAAGACAAATGAAGAATTTAATAAGTAGAAGGCAAAGTAACAAAAATAATAATCCAGTATGGTTGATTGATTGTTGTTTTTAATCTTTCCTTATACCTTCTCCTGAATCAGGAAAAGGCAAACATGAAGCTTGAGAATTTATCACAGGGAAACAGTTACTGTTCCAGTTAATATAAATTTAATATTTAATTGATATTAAACATAAGCAGGATCTCTAATCCAGGTTTCCCCATATAATCCCAAATAATATAATTTAGAAATTATATTAGACAACTAAATCCACATGAAAAATCTCTCCTTTCCTATCTCTCACTTGCTCCCCCTCCCTTCCTATCTTTTTATATCCTCTCTCTTTGAGTGTGTTGTTTTTTTCCTAACAAGCATAATCTTAATTGTCATTTTTATAGAAAGATATTCAATTAAAGGAAAAGAAAGAGGTAAAAAATTCTAAAGATGGGAAGAAAAGAAAGAACTTTGAAAACAAAGAGGAGAAGTAAGAAATGTGGACTGAGGAAATCCCTTCCAGATTGAGAACAAAGTCACTGAGAAAGTCTCCTGGGAAAATAAGCAAACAGGATTCCACAGCCATCTTGTAAGAAATACATTTTTATTTCTGTTGCTTTTGTTGTTTGTTTCCTTGCTTGCTTTGATTTTTGATCTTCATCTTTAATTCTCTTCACGTGATTTTCCTTTACTCTCAGTTTCCAGTAATATCCCCTGTATCTTCCTCAGTTTATCTAGAACTTAAACTAATCTAAACTCACTGCAATTTTTAAATTATTGTTGGAAGGGCATATTTTTTCATATCAATCTGCTGGAAATAGCAAACTCATTACAATAAATAGCACTCTGGAAAAGTTTAGTAAATAAATGGTGTATAAATGCTCAAGAATGAGTACCTAGAAGTAGATACTCAGGTGGATCTGAAAACTTTTATTTTATTACAGTTACCGAATCAAATCTTTGTCTAGTGCACATAGGCATGATTTCAAATAGTCTGTATGGAATCACACAACTTTATAACAGCTGCATATACAACCATTTAGAGAGGAAGACACCCATGAAAAATACATACAAATGAGTTGACAAGCTTCAAAGTAGGCCAAAAACCTAACTGCTAGTGTTGGCATATTTATGACTATTCCTTTTCCTTTCTTTCTCCAGCAGCTTATTATTATTATTATTGCTGATGTTCTTGTTGTTGTCATTTTACATTAGAATATCTACTGCTAGAATTCCATAATTGTAAAATAAATCACTTCTGTATCTCCCTAAAATAAAGGTTTTTTGTTGTTGTTGTTGTTCGGTTGGTTGATTGGTTTGGTTTGTTTGGTTTGTGTTATTTTTAATATAAACTCTATCTACTAATTAGCTGGTTATTTATTAAAGACCTTTTCATGGGTTTGAATATTTGTTGGTTAAGTGGTTGCATAGGAGAACTTATTAATTTATATCTTCATTGCACTTGTAAATTTGCAAAAGCTGTGTACACAATAGTCATTCACATATTATTGGATATCTTAGATCACGAATGATGGATATTACAAAAACAATTTGAGAACACTGTTTCTAAAGAATGCATTTTATCCAATGACTCAGAACTGTGTATCATAAAATTAGATCATATTATAAGGATTCCTTTAAGCATCAATAAAATAATTCTATTTCCTTCTTGGAATAAATATAAAATTAAAGCATAGCTCTCTGAATTCATATTTATCAGTAAAGGACCCTTTTTCACTCACAGCCAGAACAAAGACGAAGCCAAAAACATCCCAAAGGGAGACCCAGTCAGCCATTGGCTGTTTATCTTTATTGCAATGTGAAGGTTCTGTAACTACCCAGTGCATCACTAGAGACTAAGGATATCATGACAGTGTGCCAGGACATATGTAAACAGCACCATCCCCTGAGGAAGGGGAAGGGTAAGAAGGGGAAGGGGAAGGGGAAGGGGAAGGGGAAGGGGAAGGGGAAGGGGAAGGGGAAGGGGAAGGGAAGGGAAGGGAAGGGAAGGGAAGGGAAGGGAAGGGAAGGGAAGGGAAGGGAAGGGAAGGGAAGGGAAGGGAAGGGAAGGGAAGGGAAGGGAAGGGAAGGGAAGGGAAGGGAAGGGAAGGGAAGGGAAGGGAAGGGAAGGGAAGGAAGGGAAGGGAAGGGAAGGAAGGGAAGGGAAGGGAAGGGAAGGGAAGGGAAGGGAAGGGAAGGGAAGGGAAGGGAAGGGAAGGGAAGGGAAGGGAAGGGAAGGGAAGGGAAGGGAAGGGGAAGGGAAGGGGAAGGGGAAGGGGAAGGGGAAGGGAAGGGAAGGGAAGGGGAAGGGAAGGGAAGGGGAAGGGAAGGGGAAGGGGAAGGGAAGGGAAGGGGAAGGGGAAGGGGAAGGGAAGGGAAGGGAAGGGGAAGGGGAAGGGAAGGGGAAGGGGAAGGGAAGGGAAGGGGAAGGGGAAGGGAAGGGGAAGGGAAGGGAAGGGAAGGAACAGATAAACAAAAACAAAAGAACAGAAAAAAAGCTATAGACTTCCTTTTCAGTATTTTTGTAGGAAAGGATTACTTCCACGTTCTTCTTATTATTAAATTGGTTAAGGGCATTAAAAGTGGTCATGTCTTTGTTTATTCATGAAGCAGATTTCACATATCCAGATAACCTCCAGCATCTCCACAGTTGCTAAAACTATCCATCTTCATGCCTGTCTATTGTTATCCATCATTTGCCATTTCAAGAATCAGTTGTAGCTTCTTCCACTTCTGATTCCAACGCTTCCAAAAGAGCATTGTAAATTTGGGGTCTGTCCTACAAATCTCATTAATTATACTTCTTTTTTGACATCATATTCAATAAAATATTGGGCAAATTCCTTTAACCCATTATAAGCTGATCCAGTTCTTACACGAGATTTGTTCTATTTTCAGTTATTTCTATTGTGTTTCATTTTTTCCAGTGGGTTATTAACTCACATTTAAGTTTAAATTAATATCTATATAGAAGACTTCAATGAAAAACACATTTAATGAATGAAGAATTTTCCAAGAATAATTTGTCGTTCATACAGGCATGTCCACAACAGCAAAATATCCCTTTAATAACTATATTTTTGAGGCATTCAATTCTGGAAAAAAAAAAAAATCATTATGTAACAGATCCCATATTAAGCGAATATAAGTATGTTGATTTAAGCAGTGTCTAAAGTCCCAGACTCACAAGAACATGGCTGCATTTTTATTTATTTATTTTTTAATCAGCTGGAAAATAAATAATTAATTCAGCACTGAAGTCTTTTGTAGGAATATTTCCACTCATAGAAAAAAATAACTTTGTAGTTTAGATCTTTCTTTCAGGAATTATATGAGCCTTGCATCTTCTGTTCACTGACCTCTAAATAAAATGGCATATTCCTCTTCTCAAAAATACTGACTCTTCCCCTAACTATGACTTTTTTTTTGTCACTAAAAGTGCTGAGACCCCATTTGTCTTGGTATATACAAGGGTACCAAGGGACAGCTATTTAATTGTGCCATGTGCAGCTTCTGAAACAATTATAACTAATAACAGAATGTTATTAAATATCAAGTAATATTAGAAATCTAAGTTGAAAAGAAACTTCTGCCTACTCAGCAAGCAAATTAAAATAAATTATGAAAAAAAAAATCTAAATATGTTCAGAAGTTGTTATGAAGGGAATTCAACCTTGCTGATAAGCTTGACAGATTTGTACAATGCCATCATTTTTTTATTGGTGGTCAAACATGCACAGCATTCCAGTGAAGCATTTAGTATAATAGACATGATAGATGATGAAGAGTTCTTTGGCAGAAAATGAGCTGAGAAATGTTGAGACTCATT